AATTTGTTGAAGGCGCCTAATGTTCCGGATTTCGTTAGAAATAACCCTTTTTCATCGGATTAATTTCGTTGTCGGTACATTATTGTATTTTACATCTGCGTGTAAATGTATCGAAACACGTTATTAAAGAAATGTTTTCTATGATCTCCACAACAAAGTTTTCATACTTAGAAATATCGGTATATTTATAATCGTTTTTTATAATGTATCCAAACTTAAAGTTTCCCATAAAGTGCAGATCCATATATAAAAAGTAACGACCCAAAAAACATCGAAACCCATAATTATAATGTAATGGGTAATTTTTCAATATAACCGGTATAAATATACTGGTTTTATGAAAAATATGTCTACAACATTTATCGACACTTATTAGTATTGTGTCGATACTTTTTGTCCAGAATGGATGCCAAAAAGGGTGAATCTACAAAGTGTCGATACATTTTCATAGAGTGTCGATCCAAAAGGGTTGCACGCATAAAGTGTCGATACATTTATTAAAAGTGTCGATCCCAAAAACATCGAAACCCATAATTATAATGTAATAGGTAATTTTTTAATATAACTGGTATACATATATCGGTTTTATGAGAGAATAGGTCTATAATATGTATCGACACTTATTAATATTGTGTCGATAATTTTTGTCCATAATGGATGCCAAAAAGGGTGAACGCATAAAGTGTCGATACATTTTCAAAAAGTGTAGATCCCAAAAACATCGAAACCCATAATTATAATATAATAGGTAAATTTACAATGTAACCGGTATAAATATACCTATTTTATGAGAGAATAGGTATACAACATGTATCGACACTTTGTTGAAAAACCCCAGGTTTTATTGGCTATGCTGTCAACATGATTAACCTGGATAATCTCAGTTACAAAACTGATTCCGGTCATGATTGCGGGAGACTATACTCTACAGATTGTTTTTTGGCATTTATGTGATGATGCGGATGAAATATTAAATGGTCTTGTAATCCACAATAAAAATAGACCAAGAGAGTAAATTTTGTAAATATAGGGTTAATTTTGTATAATTTACATTATACTCAAACTGAGTTTGACTTGAGGACATGTTAGTTTGTTATGTCCCTCACCGTTGCAGTACCCACTCGCCTAATTATCTTCTCGACCTTGTTCTTCGGTACTTCTTTTCACTTGCGTTGTTTTCATTGAGGGTCACGAACGTTGTTTACTACAATGCTCTGGTTGACTGAATCATTCAAACCAAATGAGTTTTCCAATTCTTCTATTAGTCTTTTCATCTCATCTCTTGCGGTTTTGAAAGACTCGTCTATCTTTGATGCAATGTAGCATAACCTACTTGACGTTGAAGGTAGAGCAGCGAACCGTGCCATTTGCATGACTTCTAGAGACACATTCAAGTCAACATAACTAGGTGCAGAAGCCTTCACATCATTAGTCCACCTACTTTGAATCAAAGTCCCGGGCAAATATGTGTAATCCAAGTGCTTCAAAATGTGAAGTTGATGGCGACACGAAAGTCCAACGGTCTCGAATTTTTTGTAGGAGCAAATTAGGGTTTTCGTACGAAAATCAAAACTAATTTCAAATTTCCTATTTTTTTTTGTACTTTGAAAAAATATAATGTTGACATTCATCTGATAAGGACTGAATCTCTGCCTCAATCCGGTACAATGTCTCCCGTAGAAGTTCATCTTGGAATGCACGAAAAGATTCGCGGGTAAAAATCGCAGCAGCATGGCTTTCAAGGTCGAACAGTTTTGTGATCTGGAAGGGCTTTGTATGGGAACTTAAGTAATCCGCTTTCAACTCGTTCATACACATTCTACTAATTCCATCTTCAATTGCACGAAAAATATCTAAATATGTCTTCTTGTGTTTCAGTGCAATCGCTAGTGAAGCATTCATAGACTCGCACCTTTGTGTAGAGCGAATATTGGCAAAGAAATGACCGGTTAGATATGCTTGTGCCCATAAGTGCCGTGTATTTCCCTTCTCAATCACCCATGGATGTTTTTCGATGTTGAATTCTGAAACAACCGAACGCCATTGAATATCAAATTCCTTGGTTGTCCACCAGGAAGCCATACATTTTGAGAATGCTGCTGTAAATTTTGGGTAACCAATGTTAGCTTGTGCATTGCGAGAAAGATGCCAAGAACATAATATGTGCTTAGCATACGGGATAACATATTTGATAGCCCTCTGCATTGCTCTATCCCCATCAGTGACAACTGAAATAGGTGATTTATTCATCATGGCTTCTAAAAAAATCTGTAGCACCCACTCGAAAGATTGAGACGTCTCATCAGCGATTATGGCAGTGGAAAACACAATTGTGTTATGGTGATGATTGACACCGACAATAGGCATAATTGGTCGACCATACAAATTATCTTTGTACGTTGTGTCGAACGCAATTACATCACCGAAGCATGTGTAATCCGATCTCGATGTAGAATCCGACCAAATAAGATTATACAATGCCCCTGATTCATCTACTGAGTATGTCATAAAAAACCCGGGATCATCATGTTTCTTATAATCAAAGTAGGCAATAAGCGCATTCACATCCCCATCGACGATTTCCTTTGCTTTACCTCTTTGAAGTGCATTGTAGAGGTCATTATGTGTAAATCCAACATTATGATAGCCCCCTACCTACTGCGTTAAATAGTTCATTACTTATGACGTGCCAACACCGACCTCTTTCAATGTTGTTGCCTCATCGATATCAGCCTTACTTACAGCTCTATTAGAACGCATAAATGGTGTCATAGCAGGTGTGCACAATGCATGATTATGTTCCTGATAAGACTTACTTATAACCCACTGATCGTTTGTATTTCTTGTTGTAACTACGACTCTAGCCTTAAATCCTATTCTTGTGACTGGCGTATGAGCACGTTGATGATTAACATTATTGACTTTTGATGCTCGAAACCCTTCTTTGGAACAACAAAATTCTTGTGTCTTCACATTCCCTTCCACGTCAAGCCGTGTTGTTCCCTTACGTGCACTAAACCCATGTTCCGGTGCGAATCCCTTGTAAAAGTACCAAGCTTGATCACGTGAACAGAAGAGCTGGCCAACCAATCTGTCAGATTTATCAACATTATATACTTCATGACATTCCTCGGTTGGCTTAACATTGTCTGCATCAGTATGATCTATGGCAAAAATTTTGTTGTGCAAGTTCAGTGGTCCCGGAGTTGATGGAGATGTAAGCAAAGGTTCATTGAATATGTTTCAGTCGTGTTGCTTTCAATAGGATGTGGTATTGGTAGTGGTAGTTAAAGGGTGGGTAAAACATTAAATTCACAGTACATATTTAGGTATGTACAATAACTACCTAAATATGTGTCGATACATTTTATATAAGTATCGACTCAAAAAACATCAAAACCAATAATTATAATGTAATAGGTAAATTAATAATGTAACCGGTATAAATATATCGGTTAATTAGAAAACAGGTCAACATAATGTATCAACACTTGTGTAATTTGTGTCGATACTTATTGTCCAGGATGAATGCACAAACGAGGTGCACGCATAAAGTGTCGATACATTTATTAAAAGTATCGATCCCAAAAATATCGAAACCGATAATTATAATGTATTAGGTAAATTTACAATGTAACCGATATAAATATACCGGTTTTATGATAAAATAGGTCAGCATAAAGTATCGACACTTGCTGAATTTGTGTCGATACTTTTGGTCCAGAATGAATACTAAAAAGGGTGCAACCATAAAGTGTCGATACATTTATAAAAAATATCGATCCCGGAAATATCGAAACTCATAAGTATAATGTAATAGGTAAATTTTCAATGTAATCGGTATAAATATACCGGTTTTATGAGAGAATAGGTCTAAATATTGTATCGACACGTTGTTAGTTTGTGTCGATATTTTTTTCCAGAATGAAATATGAATGCCCAACCAGGTGCAAGCATAAAGTGTCGATACATTTAAAATTGTATCGATCTAAAAAACATCGTAACCGATAATAATAATGTAATAGGTAAATTTGCAATGTTACCGGTATAAATATACCGGTTTACTTTAAAAATAGGTCAATATAAGCGATACCTATTACGTTATATAAGAGCTACCTAATATGTTATTGTACTTGATAATATTTCCGGTTAAATGCCTATTTTATTATATAAGCGCTACCTATTTTATTATATAAGCGCTACCTATTACATTATATAAGCGCTACCTATTACATTTTATAAGCGCTATCTAATATATTATTGTACTTGATAATATTTCCGGTTAAATGATATAACATTACCGGTCAAAATTTTAACCGGTCACTTGTTTAACCGGTCACGCCGTTTTTTAGCCGTTTTTTAACCGTCACACAACAGAACTTCACCCTTTAACTTGACGGAGGACAAAGCACATATCTTTTACCATGACTGTATATTACAAGTGATGTCATTTTTTAACATAAGATCAACAGAATACCTGGTTTGCTATCATTCCAGGAGACATTCTACCCATGACACCTTCTGAACATTTGGGGCAGCACAGCGTTCGCCAGAAATTGCAAGTAGATTCCTCTTGTTGCTGTTTTGCTAGTTTCTGACCGATTGCAAGGATCGAGCGGAATACGGCTGGGCAGTTAAAAGTGCCTGAACAGCTCGGACATGACAATATCAGTGGCTCACATCCCTTATATATGCGATGCAAACCAATACATATATTGTTTCAGGGAAGTACATTCATTACATAGTAATACTCAATTAGTTAATTTCAGTAAGAGTTTTTGTATATGAACCAGCAGGGAGGGAAGTAAGAATTTCGTCAAGGGTGCGAAATCAAATAATTTATATAAAATACAAAACAAATACCTAATAAATAAGGGAATTTAAAATTTCTAAAGGGTGTGGCTCTGTTCCATCCCCGGGAACCAGGATGATCAACTATAAGAAAGTTATTTTGAGATTCCTTTGTGAAGGAATAATAAATATAGTAGAAAGTCGTTACCTGTCCTCATCATCTACAGCGAACATGAGAGCATTACCAGTGTCATTGCTGAAGCCTCACTTGATTTTCTTTGGAACTGGGAAATAAACCAACAGATAATAATATATCATTGCCGAACTGTGTGCAAGATAGAACTTTGATGTCCTTCAAATTCAGACTAGCATGTAGGGATTACCTTTGATGAGTCAAGTCCTAAACAATCAGCCAACCGTTCTGGGCTTGTTCCTTGTATTGAACCACATAATCTAGAAACAAATGGATGGATCTGCTGTGACGAGTAATAATCAACGTCGATCATCCATTCCCCCTCGTCCTTTTTCAACTCATCAGGGTGTTATATATGGAATAGTGTCGCCAGCCGAGCAACCAGTAGAATAATCACTTTGCTTCATTCTGAGGGCCACCTATAAATTGGTTCAAGTAATATCCATCAAATGAATTGGATACATGGTAAGAAAATTATACAACTTAAAATTTAAAATTAATTGGATATCACTTACCCTCCTGAAAAGATGAGCAAGACAGAAGTCACCTAATTCCTTTGACAGTAAGCTCCAGTCACGACGAACCATATCAAGACCTTTCCGCTCAATAACCTATAGCTAACAGGTTATCCCTCCAGTTCTTTAAAGAGTTTATAGTTAATGAAAATGTACTCATAAAAACAAAATTACCTCATGATATCCCATCCTTGAATTGCACCTTCACAGCAGCATACTTTTCTTCTTCAGAAGCAGCACTCTCTTGTACAGACCATCAAGGTCAATTTCTAGGCACCTATATTTCTCGTTCACCTTGAAGAATGTATGGAACATTAAAGCCAGCTGTAATCCTTTCTAGAGACGCAAAGGGAAATCTATACATTTGAAATAAGGAAATCAAAATTTTGAATACTGGCAACAATCCAATCAAATTCTAAAGAAAAAGGACAATAACAATACAGCCTATACATGATTGATGGGACTATTTTCTTCTTTATTAAAGGTATTGGATTAAACCCTGGCAGCAAATCTTATCAACCACATTCCTAGCTACAATCAATGTGCTTGCATCACATTGCAAGAACAGCACAGTAACATTGAAGCTTTTATGAATTTAATCATTTTGAGTATGCAAGATATAGTCCACATAAGTGAAAAGAAATAACATTCTCAGAGCCTCACCTCCTGGACGACTTTTTTCTGCAATTGCTTTTGCTTTTGCAACGCCATCCAATCCACTATAAACCATAATAGAATCTGTATCACCATATATCACCTGCCAATTACCAAAAATCCCATCTTCAGGAGCATAATTCTTTCAGTAACATAGACATGACATTGGCCCTAATCATAGCTTCTGAATATCAAAGCATCAGTCATAAGATAATACCTCTAAGTTCAAATTATTCTGAACAAGATCAACAGTACTTTGTAGAATCTCCCTTCCCTAATCAACAGAAATATAACTTGGATCAAATCACAAGAAAAGAATCCGCAACAAACCAACATTTTTTTACTTGAGAGGATGATCTTTGCATTTGTTTGTATGCTACATAATAGCATACTTGTTGTGTTATAAGCTCTGCAAGAGGTTTTGCATAAAATCTCGAATTGGAAAAGCCAAGGCATTCATACATACTGCACATTAAACATTATCAGGTCATATGCAAGAGGTTCCATCTAAATGACAATTAAGAATCATCAATAAAATGCCGCAAGCTGGAAAGTAAATTTGAAAGTTCCATCTATAGCGGGACAGGCTTTGGCACCCACATAAAAGGTTTCAAAGAAATTAAAGGATTATGAAGCTTCAAGGAACAGTGATAGTTACACCTGTCTTATATAGTTCAACCAAATGACCCCAAAAGAATAGTAACAACAATTAAAATACACACAAACCTATTTGAAGTGAGCTTTAGTGCTTGCTGTTGAATATCAAGTTGCAGAACATTGATACCAGATGCATTTTTCATCCATGACTTTACCGTTCTCCCCCTCTGAACCAAATTTTTCAGCAACTACAAAAGGGTATGAAAAACAAATTATCTATTAATATTACAGATGAAGGATTGGAAGCAAATAGACAGTATAAAGACACATCTTTGATTAAAGTCTCATTTGAACATGCAGAAGCATTTTAGAAGACAGTAGCTCTTTGAACAATGATCAGGCAGACTGCTCATGAGTATCATTAAACCATCTCAGATTTCATTTTATCATAATTTCTAGTTTTAAAATTAAATGGTTGTCCCTTGTTCCCATATGTAATAGGGTAAGGGGAGGTAAGATAGTAGGCTGCCCCCAACACTAAGTTGAGAGCAGCTTCCGTAGGAGACCTCAGAATTTCTGTGTTTTATCAAGATACAACTCAAAACACTTCGATTTTTGAAGATCTCAAACATTTTGAAATTACTATAAAGAAAATGCCTTCCATGCTGATGTTTCTATTGTAAACTTTATCATCAACCATAACAAGAGAAAACATTAATGCAATTAAAATATCTAAAAGGCAAAGGCAACAACCCTCATTAAACTTAGAGCATTTCTACTGGGGATTCACACTTCCAGACAGTTGGAGAATTTACTTTGACAGCTATAAGACAAGTAAAGAAGCAGACTGTAATAAAGTTTCGACAGAACTTGGCAATTCAGTTGTTCAAACCAGCAAAAATGGATTCAGAAGGTTAAAAGGAGATTATTCCTCAGGTAGAACCCCAGCTGTTTTACTAGAGAGCAAACGAGGAACTAATCCATCAGGAAATCTTTCAACCGTTGTGAAGCATATATTGTATTCCTGTTGAACCAAATAGTAGCTCATACTAACTAAAAAAAGTATACAACAGCAGAAATGACCACAACCTTGAACAAGAGGCAAAAGAATCAAATCTGATAGTAAATAGATGAAACATGAGGAAGTTATTTTAACCTGAATTATGGACGGGTAAAGGCGATTGAAATCCAGTAGCAATACATATTTGTCATACAGTCCTCTCTTTGGCTCCAAAATCAATCCGCCTGCAAAGTCATGACCTTTTTTTCCTTTTCCACGTTCATTAAGGGCTTCCTCTTCAAAATTCACATCATTTTTATCCATACCATCCCTATTTCCATCCTCAACACCATGAGTTATTCTCCTTTTCGTAACTTTTGTTTTCTTAGTGTGAGGGGAAGACTTGTCTGGGACAATATACTTTTTTACATGAAATGCATTGAACAGAAGGTACTCTACTCTTTGTTCCCTAGCACCCTGAAAAGGAACATGTGCTTTTATGTCAAGTCAATGAACAGATATTGAAACAAATGCACCCACGGTACTATGAAGTACTCACTTGGAGAGTTTTTTATCAGAGATTACCACTGATATTGGTCAGCCGGCGGGTAAGGGTAAGTACACTCAGATGAAACATTAGTTCCATAGATAACCATGCATCAGTCTCACCAGATTCAATCTGAACACATCACAAGTTATAAGCATGATAGCTCAGAACAGAAGCAAATTTCCAGTTACAATTGACTAGTTTGCGCTTCTGCACATGCCCTGAGTTTTATTATCCGCAAGCTCAAACAGTAAGGTCCATTAAAAGCTCTTAGCCAGGAATTGGCAAGTCATTAATTCATTTACAACATAGTTTTTTTTTAATATCAAATTACAGCTAAGATTTATATTTTCAAAAACATGTTTTAACGACGACCTTTATAATTTAAGGTATGACCTCTATAATGTTATTAAAGTTTAGATGTCACCTCATTGAAATGTAATTAGACATTAGGAAAAAAAAATTCAAAACCATACTACTACAAGACATGGTTGCCAAAACCTACAAGTTCCAAGAGCAATTCAGATGTTTGGAACCTTCTGGGAATATCTTGTGGAGCAATCTCCTTGGGTCTTTGTTGAGCTGAGTCTTTGACAGTGGTGTCAAAGAATAGCTAACCTGAGAACAAAAGTTAATGTTTAATAATTAAGGTTTCCATTATCCAAGTTCACATATCGCATCAAGGGTGTAATGCACCAGTTGTCATGCCTCTTTTAATAAGCCACGGGAACAAAAATATTTATCACATAAAAGACGACCAGCAATGCATGACATGATCCCAGGGCAGGCTCCAGAACCGAATATGGTATTTTCTTTTGTTAACTTGGGCATCACAGCGCTTTTCAGACGACCAATTTTCGACCACAAGCTGCTTGGCACTTTGCAAGCCTGAATAAGAGCAAATTATTAGTGCTATAGGATCCATGGAAAATTATCATACAGGTATTTGATAGGTTCAGAGGCAAATTGCATTTAAAGAATAGGATGAGGAAAGTTGAAGCAACTATATGCAGTTATTGCCATCTAAAGATTTGATAATGCAGAAAAGATAACTAGAACATCAGGAAAATAAAAATTTAATGGTGGCAAAACATTGGTTGTCTGCAGGAGACTCTCATAAAGATATCATTGAATGCCAACTCTTGCTTAAATATATTTATGGGGCTGGTGATTGAAGCCTGCCCATGATTATACCAGTGGCTAAGAATATATAAAATGTAGCTTTAAATTTCTTCTACAATAAAGCACTTTGTGGAGATTCCCACCTGGGCTCTATGCAGGAGAACATCCAAGTCAAAGCCAGATATATTATGCCCAGCAAGAACATCACTGTCCAACTTGTATAACTCTATCATCAATCGATTTAATAAAGCTCTTTCTCTACAACATGTGTGAAAAGATACTTCAACAATAGCCTCTAAAAGAATATATATACGATAAAAATAGACCAATAACATGCTATAAAAAATATTATTTTTATACGAAAAATAGAGATTAATTAAACAAAAAATAATAACATAACTTAAATAATAATATAAAAGAAAATATAAAATCTTCCACGTTTCACAAACTAATTCGAAAAAACCAAAATTAATAAGCATTAAAGTAAACGCACCTATTGTCAAAATAATAATAATAATGATAAAGTAAACGAGCCTGCTGCCTGACTCTTGCTGTAAATGAATCAAACGGTTAATGAATTATTTGGTGGAAAAATCGTTTATGTTTGTTTATTTTTTAAACAAACGAACATGAACAAATTTTATGTTCGTTTAATTAAATGAATGAATACGAATAAAGGACCCATTCGTTCATGAACGCTCGATAATCTATTTGTTTATGTTCATTTGTTTATGATTATTTGTTTATTTAATTAAATTTTATATTTATCTTTGTTTATTTATATTTCTTTTTATGAATTTTTATTTGATTTAAAAGAAAATTACATTTTATGCTCATTCGTTTATTATTTTAATGAATGAACACGAACAAACTATATTCATTATTAAACGAACACAAACAAAAAATTATATTCATTTAACTGAACAAACTAACGAAACATGAATATATTTTCGCTCGCATTTGTTTACAAGCCAATGCCTGACCCCACACCAAATGTCCTCTTCCTAAACAAACATTTTATGCTCATTCGGATTTGTTTATTTATATTATTTTTTAGGAATGTTTATTTGATTTAAAAGAAAATTATATTTTATGCTCATTCTTTTATTATTTTAATGAATGAATACGAACAAATTAAATTCTTTACTAAACGAATACGAAGAAGAAGAAATTTATTCATTTAATTGTACAAACTAACTAAACATGAATATATTATCTTTCGTATTGGTTTACAAGCCAATGCCTGACCCCACACCAAATGTCCTCTTCCGAAACAAACATCTTCCACTATATCATCACGGGGGCTTACAGTTGTGCTTCTTCGATGCTTACACTGATTTTAGCCGTTGGATTTCGTGAATCAAACAAAAAGTTAAAAAAAAAAAAAAGAACCACACCCAGTGGGACTCGAACCCACAATCGCTTGATTAGAAGTCAAGCGCCTTATCCATTAGGCCATGGGTGCTATTAGTTTCAACATCATAATAACGTTTATTAGTTCTTTAACGTAGGTATATAATTTAATTAACACTATTTTTTTAGAGAAAATAACATCATTTACCGAAAATGCCTTATAATATACGATTTTGACCAATTTTTTTTTGATTTGCCAAAATGACCAACAAAATCGCAATGTGATCTCTAAATCGCAACGCGATCTCCAGTATCGCAAATCAGTTTCCATATTCGCAACGCGATTTTAACTATCGCAATGCGAATATGTAAATCGCAACGCGATCTCCAGTATCGCAAATCAGTTTCCAGATTCGCAACGCGATTCTGACTATCGCAACGCAATAATACATAATCGCGTTGTTGCGATTTTAGAAAATCGCAATGCGAATATGTAAATCGCAACACGATTCTGACTATCGCAACGCGATTCTGACTATCGCAACGCGATATCGCAATACTATAATACAAAATCGCAATGCGATTTTCCAAATTTACATTAGTCCAAATTCGTTGCGATAGTCCAAGTTCACGTTGCGATTTCTTAAGAATTTTCTCTAAAAAGATAGTATCCGCGCGGACGTGTCGAAGACATGTATTACCACGAGACAGGACGGGACGGGACTGCGGCGGCGGCGGTGCGCGAGAGTCCCCCTTGTTGTCTTCCACTCAAAAAGGAAGTGGGAAATCGAAGCCTTAAATACTCATTCCCAATAGTGTTTCCAATACTATTGGGATTGAGCATTGCAAACACTTGGGAATCTTTTACACTATCGCAACACATTCTTTATTGTTTCAAACTAAGATCTTACAAATGGCTTGGGAATCTTTTACACTATCGTAACACATTCTTTATTGTTTCAAACTCCACGTGAATTTGGAATAGTTAAAATGTAAACTTATTTTAGATTTTTCACTATCGCAACACTTTTTCACTATCGCAACAACACTTTTTCACTATCGCAACAACACGTTTTTCAAACTCTCGCAACATATTTTTCAAAATCGCGTTGCGAATCTTACAATCACATTGCGAATCTGGATATTCGCGTTGCGAATTTGGAAACTGAGTTGAAAAATTAGAGTTCGCGTTGCGAATTTAAGATCGCGTTACGATTTTGTTGGTCATTTTGGCAAATCTAAAAAAAGTTGGTTAAAATCATATATTATAAGGCATTTTCGGTCACTAAGGTTATTTTCTCTTTTTTTTATTTGTGTATATTTTTTTATCTATATTATTATTTTTAAATAATCCGGGTCATTATAAGGTAATATTTGCTCAGAATTTTCTTAATCTATTGACAATGCACACATCTTATAAACACAACTGCTCGAACATATAACCTATAATAAGAATAACACTCTATTTTATCATTGAGACCACTTGATGGGTTTTTATATTTTATTATTATATTAAAGGATAAAATTCTCATTATATTAGATTGATATTTATCATTGTAATATATTTACCTGTAAATTTTCATTACTTTTATGCTCCCTTTTAACTCAAACGATTATAATGTATCAATCAATATGTTAATGTCCAACTCAGACGACTGTTATTTTTTTAAAAGAAAATGACGAATTTGAAACATAATGAATAGTTAAGTGACCATTTTGTAACTTTTAATAATTGAAAGATTCAACAAAGTAACGTCTTATACTGGGGACCCATTATGTACCTTTTAATAATCAGTGACTCAACAACATAATATCTTATAATGGGGATCGGACCATTTATATACTTTACCCTTTAATTAACTACACATAGAGGCTTATTAAATATTTTATGACTGTAAATTATTTTAAAATCACTTTGTTAAAAAAAATTTACTTTTACATATATTAAACTATTTTTATGTAAACTACCTTAATAAATATACGATACTTTTGATGAACACTTTTATTAATCAACTCAGCAGTATATGTATTAAAATAACAAACTTTCCAATTAAGGTAGATTGTTAAAAGATGTGTTGGTGTATTGTCGCAACCGTCTTTCGGTTGGGTCTCGGAATTGGGCTTCGACTTAGGAAAATATGGATTGGAGTCGCCACCGATCTTTTATTTTAAGATAAATAGGTAGATTGGATACCTTATTTCTTACATGATCTGCGTCTTACCAAAGATGTGTCGGATTCGGGAGTCAGTTATAGTAAAGGAAGGGTTAGCACCCTTGAACTGCCCTTTTGGTACTATGTAATTTTCAGTTGTCTTAAATTAAGAAAATTATAAGTTAAAATTAAAAGGTAAAAATACTATCTCAATTACTTACCTTAGATTGATTTGAAAATATCCTTAAAAAATCGAGAA